GTGAAGCAGTAGGTCATGTACACAAATTCGGTTAGTGTGGTACAAAAACTTCCTCATTGAACAGCATTAAAATTTTTGAATAAATTATTTATAATATATAATTTATTTATTAATTATAAATAATTTATAGTTTTTTTGTTTTGTTTAAAGCACATTATAGATAAATAATTTGATTGTTACATATACCAGCAACATTTCAGCCATTAATCAGTTATAAATGTTTGCTAGGTTGTTCGGTACCGGTCTAAGTTTGTTTATAAAGTTGTTGTTCTTTTATGGTTAAATATAATTATGAGAAGTTTCTTTTGAAAAAATGTCTCTTGTTTGTCATTATGCTTGGTGATTTGGTTCACGTGACTCATAATTGGTGCTTTAGAACATTCATTAAGGGACCATAGTGAGCATCGATGCTCCCTGATTTTCACGGTGCATTGTGGCACTTTTAAGGGAGTGAACATTTTAGTGCACTGGAATAATTTTGTGGGTGAGACTGCACTTAATATAGCTGGCTACCTGAGCAGTGCGCTGACTACTGAACAAGGGAACTGATTGAGACACACCCAAGGTCTTCAAATTCACTGCAAACTTCCAGGCAAATGTGTTGTTTGGAGACAAACCCTCAGGGATTGGACACCACTGTGTTAAACATGAAGGAGTATATCACTTACTCGTTTACTCACTTTCCTTTGATTTATTTCCTTCTTTATCTGGGACTACCCACCTTGGTCAAACTCATCTGCTTATAATCTCAGTAATCCAGAAGAACTTCATTAGCTTATTCTGGTGTGGTGAATTGGTTTTGGAGCTAAACTCTCAGGATAGTAGTGCACTGGAAGAATTTTGCGGTTGAGATTGCACATAATAGAGCTGGCTACCTGAGCAGTGCACTGACTACTGAACAAGGGAACTAATTGAGACACACCCAAGGTCTTCAGACTCACTGCAAACTTTTAGGCAAATGTGTTGTGTGGAGACAAACTCTCAGGGATTGGAAACCACCGTGTTAAACTTGAAAGTGTCTATCACTTACTCGTTCGCTTTCCTTTGGTTTATTCCTATCTTTATCAGGGACTACCAAAACAAATGAGTTGCCGATTAATTTGGCACATATTTTCCTGGTCGATGTCTTGTAAGAGACCATGTAGGGTGAATTGCATACATCATTTCTGTTGCCAAATTTGAATTTCACTTCTAACAAGAATTTACCTCTAAGGCACTTTATGTTAAGAGACTCTTGTGGAAAGGCTGAGAATGCAACTTCTCGTTGGGTTGAACTAAAAAAAAAAAGTTGCATTGACACATTATGCTCCCTCAGCGTTATGCACTGACTATTGAACAAGGGAGCTGATTGAGATACACCCAACATCTTCAGACTCACTACAAACTTCCAGGCAAATGTGTAGGAGTTGTTTTAGGAGACAAACTCTCCAGGATTTGAAACCCCTCTGTTAATCAAACCCACTTACTTTTATTCAGTTTATTCAATTCAATTCATCTTTATTTCTATAGCGCTTTTACAATGTAGATTGTATCTGTTTATCCCGGTTTATCCTGATCTTTATCCCAATCCTGATCTTTATCTGGGACTACCAAAGCAATATGCCAATTACTTTGACACATAATTTCCTGGTGGATGTCTTATAAGAGACCATGTAGGGTGAATTCCAAACATCATTTTTGTTGCTCAAAACTCTTCAAATTGTGACTTTCCATGGACCATATTTGCCCACCCCTGGAGAAGGTATAGGGATGCCCACTTCTGATAAGAATTTGCTCTTAAAACAGTTTATGTTTAGAGATTCTTGTGGAAAGGCTGAGAATGCAACACCTTGTTGGGTTGAACTAAAAAGAAACAATAAAGTTGCATTGACACATTATGCTCTCTGAGCATTATGCACTAACTACTGAACAAGGGAGCTGATTGAGATGCACCCAAGATCTTCAGACTCGCTACAAACTTCCAGGCAAATGTGTTGCAGGTGTTTGGAGGCAAACTCTCAGGGATTTAAAACCGATATGTTAGTCAAACTCGCTCACTCACTTTCCTTTGGTTTATCCCGATCTTTATCTGTGTCTATTACAGCTAATAAACTGCCAATTAATTTGGCACATAATTTCCTGGTGGATGCTTTGTAAGAGACCATATAGGGGGAATTCCAAACATTATTTCTGTTGCTCAAATCTCTTGTGACTTTCCAGGGGCCAAATTTGCCCACCCCTAGAGTAAGGGATGCCCACTTTTGACAAGAGTTTGCTCTTAAGGCAGTTTATGTTAAGATACCCTTGTGGAAAGGCTACGAATGCAACACCTTGTTGGGTTAAACTAAATAAAAACAAAATTACATTGACACATAATGGGTAAATACTATTGAGATCCACTTTCCTGCAGATAGTTTATTAGCTCCCACCTTGGTCAAACTCATCTTCTCGTAATCATAGTAATCCAGAAGAACTTCATTAGCTTTTTCTGCTGTGGTGAATTGGTGTTGGGGCTAAACTCTGCAGAATAGTAGATCTTAAAGGCCAAAGTTGAGAATCCCTGTACTAGGTACCGTATTGGAGGTAGCAGCACCCTAATCCTAGAGGATCACATTCCTGCAGTCTTCAGTTCCAACCGTGCTCCATCATACTTGCCTATTATTGTCAAGCCTCTATAAAACTTTTTTTGAGCAATCGATTGATATGCTGTGAATTGTAGTTATTCTTTTGGTTGTAGCTATAGAAGCGTGCACCGTTTACATTAATAATACTAAATGGTTTTATGGCAAAGTTAAAGATCTTGCAAAATTCTCGAAAACATTGCAGCCTTCTAAAGCCTTGTTTATACTCGACGCGTCCGCTTGTTTACTTAAGTGCATTTGGTGAATGTGACGTCATCGCGGAGTTTGCGAAGGTTCGCTTTATGTGCGCGCGGCATGATTTCGGCTGGCGGTGCGTCAGGCATTTTTTGAGACTCGAGCGAACAGTGCGTTCGGCGCCGCAACTGATTTGAGTGGAATGTGATACACTTTTAAGAGATTTTGTCTGAAACAGTACGACTGTACACACATCTAATGACCCGTGATCAGAGAGATAACCTAATGATCAATAATTCTTGGCTAGAAATTGCAACCGCCGTGGGAAAGGAGAAAGTTTTTGTTAAAAGGTTTAGAAAAACCTGAAGAATAAATTTATTAAAACCAAAAGGGGCCATGGCAAAAGTGACCAGGTACACAATCACAGAATATGTTTTTCCACCATTTATAGGTTTTACACTGATGTATTTTGTTTAAATTTGAATTTAAAACAGTTTAATAGTTACAAAACTAATGAAGTCACAGAAGTATTTCTTTGATAACTGGGAATGAATATTTAAAATTTATCGGTTTACAATATACTGATGCCCTGGTTCTCTGGGCTTTATTGGTGATAATGATCTGTAATGTTGGACCATCACTGCCTTTTTATCATAAGAAGAGAACAGAAATTAGCCAGACAGTAATGTGTGAATTGTGGAGCGGGCTAAATCTAAAAACAAATCTAGATTTTTTTAGTATGTGTGCTTTTTTTTGGGATAATAAAACATATATTTGTAGAGTAACTCATGTTCTGTTGTCATTATTTACAAATACAGAATATGTTTTTCCACCAGTAACACTGATTTATTTATTTGTGGAGGGGGCTAAATCTGAAAAAGATTTTCTTTTCCTGCTTTTCTTTTTTTTGCTTCTATTATTGCCATAATAAAAATATATTTGTAAAGCAACTCATGTTCTCTTGTGATTAAAATTATAATAAACTTTAAATGGTAAAACTGGCCGAGATATAGACAAAAGCAAGTTATTTGATTAAAAAAAAATTCTTTAATGTCCTATAAAAATACTTATAATCATTAAAGTAATATATAAAAACAATAGAAAATCAATAGTTTAAAAATATTGAACTATATTATGATATGACGTAGTTCCGGAAACTTTCTACTTCTGTTTATCCGTCTGACTTTACGGTGGATTTCTTTTGACCGCCCCTTGTCGTTTTTAAAAATATCACAACGGCAAACGCGGCGAGTATAAAAGCCTCGGCCTATTCGCGAGGTACGCGCGCAGTCAGCGGAGGTGCGCGATGCAGTGCCAGGCGCGAGTATAATTCCAGCTTAAGAGTGTCCAAGGAAGTTCCTTATCAAACACAGTTCATACTTTTACAGTATGTGATAGCAGGACAGTTTCAGCTTCAAGTCAATAGGGAATGTAGGGCATCCTCATTAGCAATGACCCCAGATATTAAACCTAGCATTCAAATGGCAGAATGATGACTTGTGTTTTTTTGTGCTGGCTTTAGTTTTTGTAGACTGGCCAAAAACTTGACTGCCCAACTGCTTCTAGCTATATTTAGCATTCAGCACATCAGTTGGTGCAGTATTTAAAAAAAGCTCATTATTTATTTCCCGTCTAAGAAGTAGAGATGATTCAAGTTATTTATCCACTCAAAGTCCTGATGACTCTTGAGGCCAAGATTTGAATAATTTATGAGGACAAATGCAAAGTAATTGCGCTTAGTTTGACTTTTTGAATTAGACTTGTCAGTTCCAACTCCCATTTCCTATTGCGCGAGCAATGTAAGATATTCAAATACCTCTTAATATCCAAGGGCTCGGTTTGTAATTTAAAGTTAATAATTAAAATGATTTCCAACACATTTGCTCATTGTTATTCTTTCTTTACAGAAGCGTTCTGTCCTTTTTGGACGCTAGTTATAAAGTTTTGACGTCTGAATGGATGTGTTTGGCTTTTAAAGCCAGGAATAAAAGAAATATATTAAGCATAAGCTGTGGCCTACATTCATCCATCTGAGAGTAATTTTAATTTTATTAAGCAATGATGCAAATACCTTCAGTTATTAAATCCCAAAGCATTCCATCCAATGTCTAACCTAATTTCAATTTTGTATTGTCTCATTTCATATCGGCTAATGAGAACAAATCCAGTTCTGAGTCTAAGCTCTTTTTTTCTGTGTCTCCACAGGATCAGCAGTGAGGAACTTCAGCCCATTCTGGTTCTCCACGGAGCCGTCGGATACACTAGCGGTGCGAGGAGCGCCAGTTCTCCTCAACTGCTCAGTCCACAGCGAGTCTCCTGCCAAGATCGAGTGGAAAAAAGATGGCTCTTTCCTCAGCCTGGCTTCAGACGAGCGCAGACAGGTCCTGGCCGATGGCTCTCTGCTCATCAGCTCAGTGGTGCACTCCAAACACAATAAACCCGATGAGGGGGTTTACCAGTGCGTGGCTACTATAGACAACCTGGGCACCATCATTAGCCGTACAGCTAGACTCAACGTAGCAGGTAAGCCACACAAATATCTACACTCACACAAACTACAGAATATGTGTGATCATATATTAAACCTTCCTGGGCAATAGCATTGATTCAAGATCAGTGTTGGGTAGGGGTATACGATGTGTATCACGATATAATGTTCATGATTCGATATGTATCACGATATTTGGAATAAAACTTGAAAATTTAACTGAAATGCAAATTTTACCAAGTAAACTATTTTTTATGTATTTCTTTTGTTTCAACTTGTTAAACTGAACCTTCTTTTAAAAATATATATTAAACAGGCCTGTCTCTGGAAAATAAAACAATTTAAAAACTTCTTAAAAAATATTATTGAAATGACAGAGACAAAATTAAGGAACAATTTAAGTAAAGGTGCAAAAAAATAAGCTTTTTTTCTCTTCAATTAAATTTAACAGTAAGAGCTTAAGGCTTTGCTTGGTCACTTGCATTTTTTGTGTGTGCAAAAAAAATCCACATTTCCAGGTAATCAGCAGTTCTATAAGATAATCATGAACTTATGTGTATCTGTCTGAGAGGTTTTTATGGATGGCTGTCTTCATGTTGGGCATGACGAGTGACAGGGTGGCCGTCTTTTCATTACACAGGACCGTCGTGGCTCTTTTCAGCAGTTTAGGCAGGTTTACTATTTCTTCGGCGTCGCTGATGTCGGCGCTATCAAGTGTATCATGTTGACGTGCATTTTTGTGTACCTCTGTACTCAAAAGGGTTAATGCTCGTCGTAATCATAACACTAAAATGCGATATGATTGTTTAAATAATGTGTACGTTTTCGGTTTCATTTCCACTGCTAAGTGCTGTTCACACACGCGGCTCCTGAACCATCACTCTGTTCCACAAACTGAATGTTGTTTACTACTTTATTAGTCACAACCTGCAGGTTCTGTTCACTGAAGCAGACGCGCGCGTATGGCAAGCCGTTTTAGCATTTAAACCTTTCTTCTGACTATCCATAAATATATTTAATTCATATTTAATTAAATTCATTTAGAGATATCTCTAATTATATTTTGAGTAGTCGAATTATAATTATGACTAGTCAAAATATAATTAGAGATATCTCTAAATATATTTATGGATAGTCAGATCAAAGGTTTAAATGATAAAACGGCTTGACATACGCGCGCGTCTATCATAGTCCGCCCTCTGTAGTAACAGATCACGGTCAGCTCACGTGATGTGTGATTTTGCGGCGGCCAATACATCATTATATGAAGACAGAATGATATTTTAGGGTGAATTGTACCTTATAAATACAGTATGTGACTCTTTCAACACCATTAGGAGGTATCCATGTCGCTGTGCAAAGTATGTAAATCACTGTGAAGACTTTAAAACTTAGGATGTTTGACCCAGTATGCGTGTCAAAAAGCGGACGAGTCTAAAGCAATGACTATACAACCGAAATGTTGCCAGACGTCTGATTTTGAGAGGATGGGCCATCCTTTATTTCAACTCCACTCATCTTGGTCTGCTAACATTACTGCTGCTGCAATCTGAACTCACGTGCGACAGCAGGTGGAACGTAGCTCACGTGCAGACAGCTCAACTAATAAGAGAAAACGGACGTCATATCGTAATCAAATCGTCATAACGCCACGATGCATATCGAGACATTTTTGCATCGCAATAAATCGTACAACGATAAATCGTTACACCCCTAGTGTTGGGTAAGTTTTATTTCTACTGTTAGGGATGTTTTCATCTACTCTGGGCTGATTTTGAGTCTTAATTTGGCCATAACTTTTTCTGTGTTCTGTGTATTTTTGGCGACAAATCTTATTTTGACACATAGTTTGGGAAAATGTTCTGAAATATTTAAACTCCAGGGTCCCCGCGGGGTCTTAAAAAGTGTTAAAAAGTCTTAAATTAAAAAATCTAAATTTATGGCTTTAAATATTTAGATATTTAAATATTTTTGCACAGGCCTTATTTTTGCGATGTCCATGTAACGCTACATCTAATGTCCATTTAAATTCTTTTTGTTGTTGTTGCTAGGTTTTTGGGGTGTTGTAGTTCTTTATTTCACTAGTCCAATTGTAATTTGCGGTATTACAACTACAAAAAGGTCAACTTGCAATAGCCAATCAGCTTTCTGATATTAAACTCAGTGCGCGGGGCGAATGTGACATCATCGTTGTGTTTGCGGAAGTTCGCTTTTAGTGCGCGCGACATGATTTCGGCTGGCAGAGTATGCCGTTATTTCACTGACAAATGTCGCAAGCGCAGTTTTCGGGAGCGCTGTAATACGAGAGAGCGAATCTCTGCTCACGCACCGGTTTCCTTTGTTCATGGACAAAACTGCTTGCGAGCTCTCAAAACACTGGCTGCTCACGTGCGAATGATCTGCTCTCGCTCCGTCTGACTCCTTGTGTGCTTTTGCTCTCCAGAGATGATTCAGCATAGTGTAGTATTAACAATAGTGAACTGACAAAATGAAATACAGTGTAGTTTTACTACAGTAAAGTGTGTTGAATTGTAGAAAAATATACCTTATATTGTAAAAAAAAAAAAAACTAAAGCACTGGGTAGTTTGTTTTTAATACACTTGTTGTGTTACCATAGCAACTACAGTATTACCACAACAGATTAATTGAAGTACTGTACTTTACAAAACACTGTACAGCAGACACTAGTTCACTTTATTTTAGTGATAAAATGGGATTGATAGTGGGATTTATTTGAAAAGTGAATAGTACAGTAGGCTGTAATACCTAATCAAGTTTTTACCTATTTTCTATCACAGTTACATTTCTGCTTGCCAGAATGACCAATAATTATTGGCTAGAAATTGCAACTGCCATGGGAAAGGAGGAAAATTTTTTGTAAAATTTTGGAAAAACCTGAGGGATAAGTTTGTTAAAACAACAAAAAAGAGGCCCCCAAAAACATCTTCAATGATAATGATGATCTTTTTATTCGTCTGATTGTACTTTCTGTTTTTTTGGACCGCCCCCTGTCATTTCAAAAAATATATCTCAATGGTGAACGTGTCAAGTATAAAAGCCTTAATCCGTTTCGTGAGTTGTGCGATGCGGTGCCAGGTGAAAGTATAAATCTCCATTAAGATGTTTGTCAATAGTGCATTTAACCTGACTTTAGTACTGTTCAATTTAAATAACTTTATTTTACCCCTAATTTTGTGCTTTTACATTTTCTCTCGCGTGTTTTTGATATTGCGATATAGGTCTTAAATTTAATACTTAATGGTCTTAAAAAGGTCGTAAAAGGTCTTAAATTTGACATTATGATATCTGCAGAGACCCTGAACTCAACAATACACTCTGGGCAAATTTACTAGTGTTTTGATGAAAACATCCAAACATCCACATACACATCTCTTAATAATTGATAAACCTCTTCCCATAACTATTATCATTTTATTGATCTGTTTTGATCACTTTAACCTACTATCAAGAAGAACTCCATAAAACTTAATTCTTGGAAACAGAAAAGTATCATGTAATTACAGCAACCAATTACTTAAGTGATTGTGTAAGTGACTGATCATTACCCCCAACCCTGCTCAAGCCCAGTGTTTGTATATGTGCAAGGACAGAATGACAGCAGGAGGACTCGGTTTGTCCGACCTGTCTTTATCCTTCAATGTTATCGCCTGCAGTGGAGGAGTTCAATAAGTCAGTCAGGGCGTTTGCTGATGCAGCACCAGTGTTGTAAAGCGTGAGAGCAGGTACTGTACGTTTGGCGGTTGCTATTTTGGGCTCTTTGAGTTGAAATGAAAGTGACCTTGTTTAGTTTGCAGGAGGCAAGCAGCAGGGATTATGAGGTGTTTGAGTTGGGTCTTACCCTGCAATTCAATTTGCCGTTGGAGGGAAAAAGGAATGCAATTAAGTTACATCAAGCCCTTTACGGTCTGTAACCTCACTGAAATCTCTCTGAAGGAGTTTCGCTCGGGAAAAGTCTGTAGACAAATGCTCATTTGAAGTCGAGCAAGAGACTTTTTAGCCCTGTTTTGGGTGAACAAGCTCATTATTTCTCAGAAACTGACAGGAGATTTCCATTGGTCTTTTAACATTGAAGTGTTCTAAGCTGTGCAACAGATTGGAGCAAAGCGTACGCGCTTTTCTGACACTCCACACTCTTTAAATAGTGTTTTAAGAGAAATCCCTCTACAGTTTTTGAGGGTTTTCCCATGGAGATGGAAAAATCACTACTACTTTAATATTTCAAATGTTTCTACTTGACAGCAATGGGAGTTCTCCTTGGAGAAACAGATCATAGTAGTCTTCCGTAGCTCATCTAAAAAAGTCTTTCGTCTTTTAAGGCCCTAAAAAAAACGTTTGATGGATGGAGTGCTTTACTATAAAGTATTTCTGTATTTATATTATTTTTATGATCCTCAGATTACAAAGTGAGCAATTGGTACACTCTAAGCCCGGATAGGTTGAGTTCACTTAAAAAATAAGAGGAAACTGGTTGCCCTAAAAAAATGAAGTAATGTATGCTTAAACTTTTGCTTTCCATTCATACAAAATATTACTACAAAAACTTTTAGTTTTAAAAAATATAACTTTTATTAAAATTTATGTAATTAATGTAATTTTAATAAAAATTAAAATCAAGAAAGAACCAGCTGATAAAACAGGAAAATATTCAATATGAAAAATGATCTTTGCTACTGTTGCTGTTAATGGTAAATATAAAAATCTTACATCTTGTACAGCTTATATCAAATTTATTTTCAGTTAATGATTCAACAGTTCACACGTAAAACTTCATGTTTCATTCTAGGTGGATCATTTTTGAAAACTTATTCAGTGACATAATTATGATGATTGTTTGTTGCCACCTAATGGTTACACGGTGCAATTGCTACAACATTTTCCAGCGTCAAGTTCCATTAAGCAGTGATGTTTATCTTTACCCTAAACGTTGTGTTTGTATATGAACTATAAGCTGTTCTCCCAGTACTTCTGCATTATTTAATTGTTTGTAACGAACTGAAAAAGTGTAAAAACGGA